GTGCGAGCCGCTCCTTAGTGTTTTTTTCAAATTTAAAATAATTTTTATTTTACAATCTAAGTGTGTCTAATTACAACCTCATTGGCGATCTATATTCTGCGGCTACACAATACTTCAATGTAGGATGTTTCAATTTACACTAATACTTATTTCTCAGAAATGTTTGCTACCAAAAAACACTTGTATTTTAAGAAATACAAGTGTTTTTTAATAGAGAAATACAATTGTCTGTCTGGATTAAGATCCAGACAGACAATAGGGAAGACTTATTATGGAGTCTATAATATAGGTAAACATAATATTTTTATACAATATATTATTATACAATCGTTTATTCATTACCATTTATTTGTTATTTTAAAACCTCGTATTTTTTTCTTTCCACGCGGTGCTTCTGAGTACATTATATTACAATATGTAACACATTTTGAGCTCAAATTTTAAACAAGGTAACGCGTTAAAATATTCCTTCTTTAAGGGTGTGTTCATACGATCCGACTGATATAGCTTTGCGATTATTTAATATTCTTTGTGGAGGATCCCATTTTGCTTTGTATTATATACAGCTGCTTTTAAAACTGTATATGAACAATGATAAGACATTTATTACCAGCTGTTTTTGAGCTTATGCTTATTCTTTAATATTATAAGACATACGATTCGATACGACTATAATCCGATACGATCGTCGTATAAAACATATCTCGCAAGTTAATATAGAGCGAACGTTAACACAAGCACGTATGTCCTCTTCACGAAACGAGTCAAGCGCTTATGCAAAACTAGAGCTGAAAAATAAAGCTTAGAATTAAGCAAGCTATACACGTATGTAGTGAAAGAGTTGAATTATCCTACTTCTCCACTAAGCGAAGTTCATGCAGAGTGAGCCATTGAGTCCTCGCGATTTTTCATTTAAGTTATTCATGAGGATTTGTAAGGAATATATTATACTCTACGTCGATTGTGTCCTTTGAAACATGACTCACTTTTACGTCTACAACTATACACAATAACAAATAAAGTAAGGTACAATGAAATTTAGAAATTAACGATTAGTGGGCACACAAAATTTGCAACTTAAAGACCCACTTCGATTACTTGAAACCATTCTTGCTTGCGCGTTTATGTGTCTTTCACTAATAGATGCGCCCACCCCGATTGAAACAATATGTCATTTTACTTGTATTCAAACCCAGGACCTCTCGCGCCATTCGAACAAGTAATTACGAACAAACTTCACTAAATGTATACGAGTAACTGTACTCATTCTGGATTAGAATTGGTTCAATATTTATCAAATTAAGGATTTAGAACCAACAAGAAGAACTAGCTAGAAAGTCGCTGTTTTTAATTTCGATAAAATGTTGCATTTTACAAAATGTCTTCACTTTATTCGCAACGCCGAAAAGGGTCGACAGTACATCTTATTTAGATATTATATGGCTGAGGTATTTACCTACCATCGAAGTGAACATCATGTTTGTCCATTCTCCTCTACGTATCATCCTCTATCAATGACATAAAAAAATTACATTGACAGCAGTGTCAAGTTGATATTACTGTAGTGAATCTCTCGATAGTAAAAACATCTTATTCATTATTTCTTTCTATGTACACTGAGGTGCTACTATTTTTCAAGTGTAGTAGAATAATACCGCATGTATGTGACGACTATACATAAACGGTAAGCATAATCTAGTATAAACGCACGCTGTGTAATTTGTAACACACCAAACATACTAAATACCATTCCTCCTCACAATTGCTGAGCAAACAATCTGAGTGAGCCTTAATTAATTGTTAACCAAACAGATATACCAGACTTGTAAATTACTAAAGATGGAATTAGATATGGCAAGTGTGTTTGGACATACTTGGCGTTTGCTTAAATCTTTTCTCATTTATATTACAATAGTTGTAATAGCACTTTAATTAAATACCTTTGTTCTTGATGGAAAAAATTATGAAACTAACCAATTGAGATACTGTGTCCTACACGTCATCGTTAGAGCTACTTTTGAATCGATAACAACAAAGACACCGTTTGGCCTCGGTTTATTGGGTTCGAAGCGTTCCAAACTTAACTAGACGTTTAACTTGAATCATTTTAATTTTTACATGAGAGCTTGTAAAAAAAATAATTTGTTTTTGATTGCAAAAATGGTGTAAATTCGTAAACTGTGTTAAGGTTGAAATTTCTTAAAAAACTTCCTTGAGACTTGATAGGAGTGGAGCTATAGTAAAATAAGCTGGGGTCACGGTTTCGTGTCTCGCTCGAGATAAATGTCTGTAATTTGTTCATTGCGTATTAATTGTAGTAAAGCAGCTAGTTTAGATACTTCAGTTGAACGAAGTGTTGTTAGCCAAAATCTAACATACGAAAAATTTAAATAAAAATGTTCTAACTGTTTGAAAAGCGAAATATATTAATAAACTTAAGTTAAAAAAAAAGTTAACTGATATATTTCGCGTTTTAAGCCTTTAAATGTTTTTCGCTTAAATGTACCACTCGCGTAAACTACAGGTACATGAAAAAATCTTAATTAATTAGTTTAATTTGTCTCGTCTTCCACGCCCCTAATAGTGACGTAGGTAGATAGTGAAGAGAGATACACAACGCCTTAGACTCTAATTATGTCGCTTCTCGTACAAGATAAAGTAATTCTTATGTGTGTAGAAATTAGAAAGTAAATTATAACAACCAGGATACGCCTTGATGTCGAGAATTTAATTTCAAAGTTTTGAGGTTCATTTGAGCAAATTCGTCACAGAAATATATTACTTAGAACGATGTGAAATTGAGTAGTCTGTGTTATAGCAGCTGCTTGATATAACGAGAAATTAATTGTACTTTATGTGGTTTATTGCTAAGAAGGTTTAATTAAGGTATGTGGGGAAGAACAAATCGTTGTAAGACATTGTGATAAGGCTTTTTTAGAATAAGTTAAGATGTAAAATAATTTGTAAGTGGTTTGTAGGCATCGAAGGTACTTTGTTCTTTATAAGGGAAATTGCATCAAATACCTAATTTCAAAATACCATCTCTAATGACAAGCAAGTGAATCATACACGTCGATTTGTTAATCACATTTAATTTAATACTATGTGTCTTCTTTGAAGGTGGTTTATAGGTATTTTCTAAATAATACATAATATTGGAATAACTTTTATTATTACAAATTTCCAAGTTTTCGCAGACATATTTACTATGTCGAATTTTCGAATGTAAGAATTCAAGTTTATATATACAGTCTGTTATGCTTGTGTTTATAACTATTGTTCTATAAGAGCCCTTTTCTCTTTGATGTGTCAGAAGTTTTTAGACAAACACATGCCGCAGTGTTACTGCACTCTTTTGAAACTTTTATAATCGGAAATCTAATTTATTCGTCTTTCTTTTAGAGAAACTTTAAAGTTATATCTTGTTTACCTTCACTTTGCTTTGCTAGTATACATTTAATAGGTACAGTTTGATACTAAACATAAATAAATCCAAGGGCCCCCCGGGGGGGGGGAAAAGGGGGGGGGGGGGGGGGGCAAAAAAACAAAAAAAACAACCCAACCCCGCCCCCCCCCCGGGGGAAGGGGCCACACACCCCGCGCGGGGGGGGGGGGGGGTTTTGGGAAAAAAAAAAAAATTTCCCCCCTTTGTGGCTGGTGACATTTTGATACTAAAAATAAATAAAATCTTTTATACCAAAGTACTGCACTAGAATATTTATACTAAAGAGTAAAATCCCGTTTCCCGACGAACGACATGGACGAACACATTTCTGTGTCTATTTCACTCATCGGTTCTTTTAAAGGAAAGTCGTTATTCAGACTGTGCCCTGCCCGACCGCAACAATCTATTGTTTCCCTGTGATTCGAACCCAGGGAAAGAAAACGCTAAACGCAATGCTAGGCAACAAACATGCTTAACCTATTGTCTACAGAAGCGGTATGCTTATACTAAAAGACTAATAATATTATAAATATAGAACTTTTCAAAGAAATCCTTTACTTAAAATGAGCATAGAAGTTCTTTGAAAATGTTTTGGCATTTACCCACGCTTGGTGAGAGTAAATTCTTCGATATCCAAGCTAAGCTGGGTTTAAATAAGGCAGAAAGTCTGGAAATATTTTAACCAATAGATTAAATAATTCAAATAGATTTTCGTATAAAGAATGCCATGATGGAGAAATAAAATAGAATAAATTAGAAATCATAATCTTTAATCCTAACAACTGTAACTTTTACCTAATACAAGTAAATTCCTGTTTCTTCTATCTTAACAATATGTCCTTTTTTGATCGATTATAAATACAGGCAAGTATTGATCCGACTTTGTTCCTGCCTAAACTATAATTTTTCGGAAATCGATACCAGGGCCTCTTAACGCAATGCGTTAAACCAATAAGCCATAAATATTGTTAGATTTTACCTTATAATAATGCTAGAATAACTATGAATTGAGGTACTATTATCTACTTATAGGTTTCTTTAATGTATCGCTTTCTTAATTTCAGGTTTTAATCCTGTTGCACCGTCGGCTAATACCAACTCGTCGATTTCGCTCTTCACTTGGATATAATGTAGGTGTTGTTTAAAACCTTTTTTGCTTCTCATAACATCAAGTATTATCGCCTTGATATTAATTCATATTTAACTTGAGAGTCACGTAGCGTAAATAAAGTTGGCTCGAAATTCTTCACTTTGTACATACAAGTTTTCAAAGTAAATTCACGTAACAAACAAGCCAGTGCAGTTTTAATTTGCATCCGAGCGTATTTTGCACCTGAAATTAAAAGTTTTGCGTTAGAATATATCAAGAAAAATAGTTAAAAATAGTATACAGATATAACATATTGAGCAGGGTGTTTGCTGTGTAATGCAACAACACCCAATAAAAAAATTACACGCGAAACATTCATCAGCAGGATGGTCTCGCTCATTGGTCGTTCTCTATGCCCTATCCGGTTGGCCTTAAACCAACACCAATGTATGAAAAAAACCGTAATCATAAAACAATAATTCTTTCCTTACCAATGCAAATTCTGTTTCCCTCCCCAAAAGGTATATAAGAGTATTTTTGTATTTCCGCTTTATTATCCGGAGAAAAGCGATCAGGGTCGAAAATGTCTGGGTTCTCGAAATATTTATTGTCCATATGCAAGCCATATATCGGTACAATAACGACTGTTCCTTCCTCAATCCTTAAATTACTGGGTAATATTGTATCTTGCGTGGCCACTCTTTGCATTGAGCCAATGGGTGGATATTTTCTCAATGACTCATTTAAAACTTGATCGAGATATACTAAATCTTCTATGTCCTGATAGGTAAGGTGGTCCCGATTTGCAAAAGCTTCATCAATTTCCTTATGAACTTTTTCTAGCACCGATTCGTTGTTAGCCAATTCTAGTAGAGTAAAGTTGAGTGTGGTTCCAGAAGTCTCAACACCAGCAAAGAATAGTGAAAACGCCTGCGTCGCTATAAACTCATCAGTTGTTCTTAATTCAAAACCCGTTGTTTTATCTAGAATCGTTTCTTCCTTTTGTATCTCTAAGCACATGTCAATGTAATCGTGTCGCTTCCCTGGCATTTTGCGCCTTTCATTCAGAACTTGTTTCATAATTTTCATTATAAGATCTTTGTGGTCACCGAAAGTGTTCATATTAAAGAAGTTAAATAATTTCGGAAACGTGTTATTTATCAGCATTTTCAACGTAAATACAAGTTGACAGTTAGCAGAACTACACGCCGTGTCCACAATTGATGTTTCTATTGTGTTAGATGTTGAAAAGTCTAATCCAAATATTGCCATACCGATAGCTACAAAGTTGTACTTATCTAAGAATCTTAATGGATCCTTTCTTACATTTTTATCTCGTACATACTCTTTTAAATCCGAAGCACACCGATATATAGTCTGGTACATGCTCTTTATTTTGGATATGGTAAAAACTGGTGACATCTTTTGTCTTATCAGTTTCCATCGGCAATAATCGCTTATCAGAAGAAGGTTATCCGCTAAAACCTCTTTTGAATTTACAAAGTAACCACGGCTGTGAAAGCTTTGAAAATCATTTAATAAGACACTCTGTATATCTTCCAAGTTTCTTAAAATCAGAATCGGTTTAGGTCCTAAATACATTCCGACGTGATCTTTGTCAGGGAAAGCGTTATACACGTTTCTGTAAACTTCTGGTAACGCACATTTGCCTAATATGAAATCCCAAGCTGCATAATTCACTTCCACAACATTTCTTTTCTTCCAGTAATTGTTGTTAATTGTTAACATATAGGCCACGAACAAAAGTACACACACAATTGCGAGTAAAAATAAAACAGTCATTTTTGTAGTGACGTCTTGAACTAACTAGTAATACTGCCACAGAAAAAGATTGATTCACATTTAAACGTGAATCTTTTTCTTAATTAAATTTTAGGTTAATACAATAAGTCATTAGAAATCCATTATAACACTCGTAATTAAAACTCATCACTAATTTCACTGAAATACAATGTTGATTACTTTTATTTTTAAAGAAGCAAGATTCAATAACTAATACTTATTCGTAATTATTATAAAAGGCTTAAATCCGCTAAGTTTCGGTAAATCGGAAAGTTGACTTCGTGCTACAATATATTTAGAGTAAAAAACTCAATATATGTTCAAAGACACTAATGAAATCCCTCTACAATGTAACAGACCCTTTTCACGAGCGACACATATTAGTTTCCGTTCCTTTTGAAAACCATCCGATTGTATCGACGTATTTTTAGGGTATCTCCTGAAGAATTTTCGCAGGTAACACTTTTATTGGGATGATATTGGCAATACGTCTTATATGTCACTATGTTTCCTAGTTTAAGTATCTAAGTATAATACGTATTTGTAAATAGAAATTATCTCTTTACTCTGAATATAAGTTTTAAATAGAAATTTAAAATTTTACTTCTTTCATCTCTATTTATTGCAATGTATCTAAAACTGTTACTTTTCTCACGAGTTTAAAGATAAAAAAATTTTTACCTCACAAACAATGTCTAGACAAAATTTTTATTTTAATTTTAATAGCCAAAATACATACGCAAATTTTCGTTCAATCTCTTTGAATACTTAGCCCTCGGCTTTGCTCTGACAAACCGCACCTAGTTATTATTTAACATTCAGATAACCGTTACATACAGTACACTAAGCTTACTAAATCCAATGGATTATAAATTTCCCTGCATTAAATTCAATGCAAATTTCCGTTTAAAATCTTGAGATTTCATGTCGGGTCAATTGAGGGGGTCAACATGACGTGGGCATCAACGGGTCGGGGTTTCGATCCTCACCGGGTCCAAAATTTTTCTATCAATTCATAATTTTTTTTAATATGTAGGCTCTTTCCTAAAAATCTGTATATTAATGCTTTGTTTTAAGTCTATAGATTGTTTTTTTTTCTCTAGAGAGAGGAGAATAAAGAAGACGTCAATTTAATGAAAGATCCTTGTCCTAAAACCTAAAGTAGATGCACTGTCGACTTATTTTATAAGATCCTCAGACTAAAATCGATATGCAGCTTTAGACGGCTTTTGCGTCTAAATCCGCATTAAAAATGTGTTTTTTTTATTGCAGTCTAACATTTTTCAGAAAAATAATAATTGATTTCAGAAATACGTAAATTGTGAATTCAGTGGGAATAGTACCCATTAATTGTCAATTAGACACAAATTCCTACTATGAACTAACGAGCCGTCCATCTTTATAGTGCGGAATATCCCTAGTCATGAAATATGTACCGCAAATATTGTCATAACAAATAATGTTTTCCGTTTTAAACGTCCGCCAGTTTTCAAAGACATTTATCCACCATCTTTATATGTGCTAGAGCGTAGACCCAGCTTTTCAGTAAAACGCAGTGTAATAAAATGTGGGTTGAATCTTGAAAGCATTCCGATTGCGAAGACAAGCACCGACATTGTTAAGCAGAGCATTGTCGTTCGACGTGAAATGCCAGACCTGATGAGTACTAGAATTGAATTACATACCTTTATATAGTATAATGATAAAAACAGTAGGACATTTTGATTGTCGTATATGCTCCTTCAGACGTATCCCAACCAAGTAAAATCAGGTACATGCTGGTAGACCACAGAACGCTGTGATTGTGGGTTCGACATTTTTAAATCTAAAAAAAGACTTTCAATTAATGTAAAGTATGTATTTACGAGTCAAAATACTACGACACGAGCTGGACTCAAACCAACATGCACAGTGTAACACACATTATCGTCCAATTCTTTTAGCCTATTGATAAACATGCACGTCTTATGCAAGCTATATGTGTCCTGCAATGTTTTTTATCCTACGGAGTTTTGTGTCCTACTACTTTCTATAAACTGTGGTACCTAAATAAAATAGGAGAATCGCTGTCTTCAATAGATTTATTTTTATGAAATGTTTTTCAGGTAATAGCGCAGTTTTAAGGCATATTAAATTTGAAAGAAATCTAGGAATCGATATAGAGAATTTTTCTAAAAAAAAAACAGGTTTTTTATATTCATATTTTATATTATATTAATAATTTTCTATATCAATTATAAATTTAACATCGACTTTCCGCACATATTATTATATATATAAAAAAATAGTCTCTTTTCTTCTCTTCTTTTTTATCAAGGACCTTGTCAATCACTGCCTTCTGCATCAGACTCTTCAAGGAACCATTTAGGAAGGTACTTGAGATGTCGGTCAAGTATTTTTACCATTAGTTTGTTTGCCGCTGAATCACTTTTTAACAGCTATTGAACTTAGAACGATCCCGTTTCATTTATCCCTCTCTTTTCTTATTATGTAGTTTTATAATACAGTCAATGCAATGACAGTTTTCGGCAAAATGAATGGAAAGAAATTAAATATGTCTGATACTGGCGATTACAATACTTTATTCAATTGCAAATGTTATACACCCGGGAATGGGAGCTATATTAAAACTTTAAGAAAATAAATGTTCTGTAGCTTTTATACAAAACACTTTAATAGTTTAAATCGCGATATAAATTAATTAAACTTCTTTAAAAAAACAAAACTTCGGCCCGACGTTTCAGATGCTTTGCAGCAGTAGTTAAAATAATTTTCAAATAAGTGTAACTAATATATATCGCGTTTTAAACCGTCAAAGTGTTTTATTTAAATGTGTACTACTCGAGTAAACTACAGACAGTGTTCTATGGCTATTAAAAATATAATAGTGAATATGAAATAAATTGGGTTGCCAACAACTGAAATAATAGTTACTCGTACGCTTATATACATGTTAAATGACAATCTCCATACACTAGTCCAACTTTTCGCTAAACTCTAATACATTTAATTATTAAGCTAGGAATGTTGGCTTGCTCCCAGCGTATTGTGAACGCTGCTTAAACTTAAGTGGGTGTCACACTTAACTCGTACAGAATTTATGTTCTACTTAGAGGAAGCATTACGCAGATATACCTCATAACTGCCACAGTTCCTAAACTGCTGAAATAACGTAACGCTGTAATTGTGTATAAATAGAACAAACAATCTATAAACATGTTTTCTACTACTTAATGGTTATATTTTTCAGGTAGGAAGTTCAATCTTAAGTTGTAGATCAAAATCATTATAATGGAAACATCACATTAAACCACATGCTGGTTTAATGTGAAGTTAGAACCGATAATTTGTCTACCTAGTTCGCATACCAAGATACACGGGACAAAACTCTCAGGTGTATCGTCTCCTCGCGCTAAAATCTTGACGGTCAGTAAAACTGAGTTCTTTAGTTGTGATCCAGAAATATATAATATCTAGTTCAATGAACTAATACAATACCAGTTCCTACTAAACGAATCTTATTTAGTACGTATCAACTTGTCCGTGAATAGGACGCCTTACAACATTTGAACACGATTTTCAAAGGCTCTCATTTCCTACGAAGGGCTTTGTTACCTTTGAAGTCATGTCTCTACTCTCAACATGAACCCATATGATAGTTCTAAGCTTACGACAGTTAAGCCTCAATAGGATAGTATTTAATAAAATTGTGGATAAAGACTAAAGTTGTCACCATTTAATACTAACGGCAGGAAATATATAAGGTGGGATGTTTTTTGCCTATTTATGTTAATGCCTAGCCTAGCACGGCGTTAATCGCTAGTTTAAATTTATCTAAAAAATATCTCAATCAAGGTTGGACTCGCAAGAAAAATAAAATAAGCCGCGTAACATGTATTTAGTGAACCATACACATAAATATATTTACCCCATTCAGAATAAAGGGGTTAACGCGATACATACGTACACTTTTATCTAAACCAATGAATCAAATTTACTTTTTGTATAAACTATATTGGTGGATTTCTTCAAATTAACCTAAAAATATTTTTTATTATCTACCCGCAACAATGATTTAGACCACACAGAGTCATAACAAGCAACGGTATTAAAAAAGTGCAGGTGTTTATCTCAATAAGAAATAGAAAAGACGCTTAGAGGCAAAAATATCTTGAAAAGTACTTATTTAAAAGAGATGCATAAAGACTATTTTTTACAAGAGGAGAAGGTAAAAATACCCGCTGATAAAATAGCTACTTTTATACTTATCAAGCGAAATGTACCTATAGTGGGATCACAAAATGATTTATTTGAAGCCTTTGAGCTCGATTCAGATGCAAATTATCCGGTATGGCATTCAGATGGGAGCACAATAGGTGGAATCTTTGAAATGAAAACTTCGGAGCAGGGATGAACTTTTATTTTGAAAGCCCTCGGGCGATGTTCAGTCAATTGTTGAGTCGCCATCTGTCCTACAATTTCGAGTCTTTGAGACAATTAGTAAATTAAATTCAAAATCTAGTAGCTCCTGACGCACTTGATTCGCGCAAGTTTTATTTCTGATTCTTCTTAAGTTCCCGAGAGAGATGTTAACCTAACAGGTTAATCTAAAACGTAAATTTAAACTTTCTATACGACTATTCTGTCGTAGCTCTAGTGTGTAAAATCGTACTGTACTGTGTTGTAATACTGTTAATTTTATTCATTTCAGAAAATACTTATGTAAGTGTTGATGAAATGAAACACTCAAAGGTTTGAAACGGAAAATTAATTATTTACTTCTTAATTACTTCCTTTACGGCAACCGTAATCACTATATATTAAAAAATAGTAGCAGAAAGCATATCCTAAAGTTTACACGAGAAACAAAATAACGAGAAGCTAACCAATGTTCTAGTATTTCGCGCTTCAACTTTTAAAAACGTTTGTTTGTTTATTTTCTAAAT